ACAAAATGCAGCGGTACCAGGATCGTGTTTGGATCCCATTTGGAACTAAAATGGCACCATCCCAACGAGTGCAGCTACTACATTGGCAGACACTGTAGGAATGACAATGACTGTTCAAAGTAATTTATCTAACTTCAACAAATAACAGAAAACAGCTAGCACATAACAAGTGACACAGAGGATAGAATAATATAAGTGAGGTAAGTAACAAAGAAAATAGTAACAAAAGCAAAACAGAAAGAAAAACATTTTACAACCAAGATTATTGTATTGGCTTAGCACTCTCAACTTCTATGTATTTGATGAGATCAGCACGATCCTCAGCTTTCTTCAAGCCATTGTATATCATTTTCGTTCCAGGCATGAACTTTTTTGGATTTTTCAAGTACTCGTCCATAGTTTCTCTCGTCCAAACAACGTTCTGAAGTATAGACACTAACTCATAAATGATCCAAAAAGGCTTGGAGAGACGAACAAGCATGCGAAGGAATTATAAAACAGAAAAAGACATCGTTTAGATAACAAAATTTGATAAGCCACGGTCGAGAACGATATTTCGCAACAGTGCGTGCGCTGTCGTCCACGCTTACGGACCTTGCTGCGAGAATAAAAATGGACTATGAAATGCTTACCTTATTCTTATTTGCGTCTGAATATGTGTACCCGGGTAAAGTACCGCTAGTTCTGCCCATTATTCCGTTCAGCGTAGGACCCTGTTTTTCAGCTGTTGTGTTGATAGTATGACAATGCAAGCAACGCAATTTGTAAAGCTAAATAAATAGGAAAAAGCGGAAGAGAAGTGAGAAGAGCAACCGTGAAAACGTGCAACTTACCCTTTTTCCTTTCTCATAGTCGCCTTCCGAATCATCCATATTAGCTTAGCTTGAGTACCGTATTTGACAGTAATGAAACTCCTAGACGTAATTTTCTAAGTGTAGCCAAACAAGAGGAGAATTGGCGAACAAAAACTGCGTTCAATGCTGATATCCGAGCATGGATCGATAAATAGCCAAACGAGACCAAAAATCAAGGAATCATCTGATAGAGCGGTCAACTTTTGAATTCCTGAGACTTTTTTGTATTGCCTTCACAGTTACATATTGATTCATCACTGTACGTAATCCACCACAAGAATTCGAAGAATACTTGACTAATAAGTATAGACAAAGCCTATAACGACAGTCGTCAACTTTGATCCATATCATCTCCACTTTTTTCTGATTCGATAAGTACTTGAACTTTTCCGATATTGTAAGGTTAAATAGCCGCTCTTGTCACGCAAGTGCTTATTGAACCATGCGCGTGCCACTTCCTTCTGACAGCTACGCGACGCGACCGCACGCATTTGCAT